TAAAGAATTTGATTACAAGAATTTCTCATTCTATTCCATGCCCCTAAAATCTGATATTTCCATTTATAACAGGGCACCTCAATTTCCAATTCTCTATATTTACTAAGTACTTATTTTTCTCCTCTCTATTTCTTTTTTTTTTTTTTTTTTTTTTTTTTTTTTTTTGTCTTTTTTCCGTGTCCGGCAACGGATCGCAACCCTCAGTGTTGCCCCCGTACCGGACCGGGGACCGGCAACGGGATCGCAACCCTCGGTGTTGCTCCCGCGCCTCGCTCAGCCAGTGAGCGGGAACCAGTCTGCATGTGGGATCCGAACCCTCGGGCGGGAGCGCCGCCGCGCTTCCCAAGCGGCGCGCTATCCAGTGCGCCACCGGGCCGGCCCTCCTCTCTATTTCTTAATACTAGGAACATTATATGCACTAATACATTTGACTAAATTTTCAATTCATGTATAATTCCTCAGGGAAAAATCTCAACTACAGGAAGAGAAAATCTAGCTTTAATTTTGAGCTTAAAGTCCAAAATGATACTGTGTGAAATAGTTATACTTTTTAAAAATTATAATTATAAAAAGTCTCACCTTTGAAACAGATCCAATTTTTCTGAAAAGCCTCATTTATATGATATGTATGACTTTTTAAATGAAACCCATAAGACATTACCGACATCAAACTTGAATACAAATATAGATTACAAAAGTACTTAATTATAATTTTTTCTCTGAACCCTATTTTTAAATCTTAGGGCTACCACTAATTGAACATTTTCTATGTACTAGACATTGTGTTAATTGTTGAGCATACATTACCTTGCTTAATTTTCATAATGAACCTCTGAGAAATCATACAGAATCGAGAGTCTACAAAATGAAGCAACTGAAACCCAAACTAGTCAACAAGTGGGACTAGGAGTCAGGTCTAACATTCCCAGCTGGGCTTCCTTCTGGCCCTGCCACCTAGTCAACAGAGTATTTTCAAAAATGTTTCTGAAATTGCCCAACAGCAACCAAATCTAGATATGCCACTCCTCTGTAGAATACTTCTCAGGAGTGCACCAACTGCCCACAGCACAACATCCTAACACCTAACAGGCCCTGCCTGACCTAGTAACTTCTCTGCACACTCTCCATGTTACGTTCCCATTCCTGTAGTCCCTGCTCACTCTGGACTCTGCAAATGCTGTTCTTTTTTATCTACTCTCTTCCATCCTTCCACCTCTGGACAGCTAACACTTCCACTTCTCAGTTTAGAATTCATTTCCTCTGGGACATTTTCCTTGACAATCCCTCTTTTCCCAAGATTGGGTTAGAAACCCCTCCTAAAAGTTCCCACAGCACCTTTGTGCTGATTTCTATGGTAGCACTTCAGCATTTACTCCGCAGGCATTTTACTTGTTGCACTCTATCATGTTCTTATTTATATCCCCTGACCTGGTAAAGAATGCTTTCCATTCATGTATTAAACAAATGAATGAACAAATTCTGAAGCCAGGAAGTACCTAGTGAGTTTGTGTTTAGCACCAGGCTGTGCTGAGTAATTTATATACAGTATCTCATTTAATCCTTAAAAAAACTCTTAAATAGCAAGAGCCTTTAAATTTTATTTTAAAAAATACTGAATACCGTAAAGTACAAATGATAATATCCATGTACTTGCCACTTCAATGAACAAACATTACCATGCATTGGCTGCTCACAATAAGGTTGTTTTTTAAAAACCTCAATTTTGTTGTTTGTAATTTTTAATTACAACAAGTATCACTTAAAAAAGCACAGTTTAAAGTTTTTGGAATCTTATGTACAAATAGAGAAGTAGATAGTAATTAGATCTTAATGAACTAAGAAAAAACTACTGAAATTTTTTTTTTTTTGTCTTTTTCCGTGTCCGGCAACGGATCGCAACCCTCAGTGTCGCG